ATTCATTGTAAAAGCGTCGAGGGATTACATTGTGATAGTAGCTGCGCTTAGTTTCTTAATCATGTCAGCACAAAGCGACAAAAACATAAGTTGGCTAAGTTGCAAGGATGGGGGTGTCAGACTAAACATTTCGGGGAGATTTGAATCCCCCCCCCCTTGGCTACGCCACTGCATGGAGACATTTTTATAGCGCTTATTGATATGTTACTTGTTGCAGGTTTAACCCGGATTGTTGACACAATAGTGCTTACAGAGGCAGCAGGGCTTTTACTTCTGGCAAGTTCTTTGCTTCCAGTAGAGCAGGATTGCTTTAAGTGCTGCAAAAAGCATTGGTATAGTCAATTGTATGACTGATGCAGAGGCACGGTCACCATTGAATGGTTGTTTCTGAGGCCTGCTGAGAATGATGTGATGTTTCGATGTTGTAGCTTGGGCGAACACTGGCGCTGTCGGTTCTGCTACTTTCCGGCTGAGGTCGCGTGGGCGTTTGCCGCTTTGACGCGTAGGTTGGGGTACTTGAATGTACTTCTCGTGAGTGGCCTCTCGGGTGTGCTCTAGGCGGTTCTCTTGGTGTGTTTCTTGGCTGTTGTTGCGGTGTGCGCTGAGGTAGATCACGTACAGGATGAATAATCTCAAGGTTTGGAGAGGGTTTATCGGGGCGCAGTTTTCTTCCATGGATAAGCTCATGCCAACGCATTTTTGCAGCAGCTCTACTTTGCGGGCAGCCTAAATATGAGGCAGCGTGATTACCTGCGCAGTTCACACAGGCTGAAGAACTCACTTGCACTCCTTATGGTGGTGTTTTTCTCGGCAGATCTTGCACCGGCATGTGTTAAGGCAACTTTTCACCATATGTCCGAATCACTGGCAGTTATAGCACCGAAGTGCTGGACTAAGATATTCTTTCACTGGATGACTGGTGAATCCTAAGTAGATTCTTCCTGAAATCGGGCGGTCATCTCGAAAAGTCGGTATCACTGTGTGAAGTGGACGCGACGTTACTGCTTCATCTTCCTGGCGGTAATATTTCATTTGCCGCCGCGCTGATATAACACCTGCATGTCTCAAGTACTCTGGTAGTTGTTCGCCTGAATACTGTAGAGGCACATGCTTTACTTTCCCAACGTTCCGATAGTACGACTCTGGGATGAAAGGCTTAACTTCCAGGTCGCCTACATTCGAAAGCAGGAGAAGACACTTTGCAGAAGCTAAGGAAGCAACGCTGAAACTGAAGCTTCCATCTCTGGTCGTTCTAAATGACTGCACTTTTTCTTTAGCAGCGGAAACTACTTCAGATGACACTCGATTGGGGTTCATTTTCCAGAAACTAGCACCTTCAGCTAGTTTCTGGAAAGTGAAAGACGACTGGAATGCCCTCTGCCCGCTTCTTCTTATACGCAACCAACGTAAAATGGTTCCTCTTTGCTCATGTCTTCTTCATCACTTAGGTTAAAATTTGATGTTTTATTGTTGAAAAGATTCTCTTCTAAGCGAAGCTTTTTGCTCTCAGCTTCGTCGTCTTCCGTTGCTGCTGGACTTGAACGAGCAATGAGCCATTTCGCGGTTGTGAATGAGCCCCTTGAAGACGCTTTCTTTGCTTCTGCCACAAAATATTCTCGAATCTGCCACTCTTCCCACTGCAGAGAAGTTAGCTGATGTGTACTCGAACCTTATCTCAACTTCGGCATTGCAAGGGGAGTCAGCAGTATGGACTGCGAAATGGAAGCGAGAGAAGCGAGAAACGCTGAGCATGTCTGTGATGCAAGCGGTTGCCAATTGCCCAGAGTTATCCTTCCCAAACATCTACCATCTTCTAAAGATTCTGGGAGTGAGCACAGCTGAACCAGAACACTTTTTTTCAGCGCTGAGACGCCTTAAGTTTTACTTGAGAGCTACAACAAGTAAAAAATTGTTTGACATCGCTCTTTTAACATCCAACGTGAAATAAAAGTCCACCCAGAAGACATTCTCTCTGTTATTTACCGGGAACGTAGATGGCTTCTGCTGAATGTGTGTAATATAAACCATAGGCTCCTGCTAAAATCAAGAAGGAAAGTTCACTGAAGTTATTCTTGTATTAAGATGTTCTGAAAAAACAGAACTAAAACCTTGTTGTTAATGATCAATTGATGGGGTTTAACAACTAGAAACCACAATATGATTACGAGACTTCGTAATGGGGCGCTCTGGAAATTTTACTACATTGGTTCTTTAACATGCATGTAAACCAAAGTACTCGGGCCTCAAGCATTTTCACCTACAACGAAAATACGACAGGGATTCGATCTCGCTACCTGCAGGTCAGAAATGAAGCACCATAATCCCTGGACCACCCTGGCGGGTATTAAGAAAGATGGTCATGGTAAAATCAGTATGTGCTACTTTTCGTCCAGCTGTAAGGAAGCAAGTTGAACTGTATGAGACATTGCTGAAAATCACTTTGACAGCATGGTAGAGTCATTCCGTTCTCTCCCTTTGCCTACTCATTGCTTTTCAATGGCACCTTTCACTTGCAGAGGCAGATACGAAAGGTGTGAACGGCAGTGCAACTGCCCAAATTTGCATGTGGCAATTCTCGCAAATTTTGCGTAACATATGGGGCATATGACACATAATGCACAGGATATTCTTCCTGTCAAATGAAAAAGATAATCAACAGTATTCCGCTATGTGATGCGTCTGTTTGCTGCGTGAGACATTCATTGCTTACACAGAGTTTTTCATTTATTGTAGAAAATTAGTTACTATGTATATTGCTCATAATTTTACGTGGTAACCGTTCACCATCCACGTTTCTCCATTCTGAGCTTTTCTTGTCTTGCAACATGTCGCTAGTTGCAGAAATTGCTCAGTGTGCCCTTCTAATCATGTCAATGTAAAAAAACGAACAAAAGAAGTGAATCGATATATACAATTTGTCGTATATTTTTTTTCAGTTTTATGTTCCTTATTCCTGCGCTGTTTGCCACAGTGTTGAACAATAAAGCTTGTGCTCGCTACAGCTGCATGCACTGCATTTTTCATTACACTGCTTTAGGTTTATGACCACTATCTTTTTATTTATGAGCCTAAGTTAAATGATGAGTATTTTAGTAGGCCTTTCTAAGGCTGTGATTGGCCTACACGTGTACTTGTGTTGCACCTTAGTCACTAGACAACACTTCAGAGTGCCTTTAGTCGTTAGGGTGTAATATATATATATATATATATATATATATATATATATATATATATATATATATATATATATATATTGTACACTCGCATACAAGCCAAGTTAGGCGTATAAACCGAATATTCTGTCGCACATGTGTGCGTGCATGCATGTGTTTAGATGTTAGCAGAACGTGCAAAGGTTAATAGACCCATTTCATAATTAGCAAGTGCAGTTCTCGATACTGCATTTTTGCTCTACTAATGGCGGCACCTGTCCTACTTCAAATGGAGGCCAGGTCCTAGTTAAACACGCTGGGGCTCATCTATTACGCACATTAGGTAGAGAAATCTAAACCTACATTTTCCATGTCTTAGTGCAAGTAAGCTGCGCTTGAACACTCCATTTGCAGAAAGTCACTTGCCGCCATTAGTAAGGCATACTGCATAGATGGAAAGCTAGCTTTACAATTATGAAAATGATCTACAGAAATGTTACTCTCTGGCTTGAGTACATCTTAGGGCACGCACCAAGAGTCGCACTGTAATATGCTTGAACGTGGCCTATCAGACCTTGGAACTGTGTCTGGATTTTTCCATTAAAACGAACCTCTGCCTATTGAAAATTATTGCATAGTGATCGATTCCGGCAAGATCTGTTGTGGCGGGTACAAGTATGACCACTGCTTAAGCACTAATCTCGTCACCTAACCAACTTAAAACACTCGCAGCTGAGATTCCTGCCCAAAATCTCACAAAGTGCTAAGCCTTGAGAAACACCGCGACACGTTTTTCCGTATGCAGACATTATTTTCATTGTAAAAGCGTCAACAAATGATATTGCAATAGTAGCAGCACTTAGTTTGTTAATCATGTCAGCGCAAAGTGACAAAAAATAAGTTGGGTAAGTGGAAGGGGGGGAGGGGGCGTATAACAAAAAATTTCAGGGGGGAAGAGCAGTTTTTAAACCTTCCCCCCCTGGCTACGCCACTGTTCTTTAGAGTCCCTTGAGGAGCACATTTTTCTACGTATCGGGCGATGAAGCCGTCGGAATATCAGACGAGAGAGGGATCTTCTTTTCGGTTAGAAACACAGATGGTCAAAATTTCAAGAGCCCTCCACTATGACTTGCGTCATAATCACATCATGGCTCTAGCCTGTAAAGCCCGATGTAGGGGAAACGTGCACGGGCACGGTGACTTCATGCGCCCGCTCACTGATCTGCCCAGCCGCTTGTCTAGGTTTGTTTATGCAAAGCACCATCCAGACGCGTCGTACGTGCGGGCACATCATACTGCCGGGCCGGAGCAGCTGCGTGGCTCTATACTCTTCGCTGTGCACACGGGAGGACCACGCGCACAATATTGGAAGTAATCAGTGACGGACATGCCATGAGTAGATTGGGCTCTTGGACTTAGAGGCGAAGGTGATGCACTGTTATGCTCAAAGACATGGGTTCAATTTTCGGCGATGGCGACGGCATTGCGACAGAGGCGAAATGCACAAACACACGTGCAATGAGATTTAGCTACACCTCACAGAACTATGTCTTATTCCGGAGAACCATGAGGTTATTTCGGAGCTACCGTGCCTCATAATATCTTAGCTTTTGCAGATGAAACCCAATTTTTTTTTTTAATACAGGTGTAAAACATGTAAAACAGAATCAGCTGAGATGGCTGGTGGTAGTGCAGTTTTCCTACACACATAGTGCTAGAGCCTGAAAGACGCTTCATCTGTTTAGTTGTTTTTTTTCTACTAAAATTCAAGCGTTCCCATCAATTTTTTAACCTGAACTGGAACTTAAGCTAAATTTTCATTTTATTCACGTTACCTCTTTTCCATTATTGAACACTACTTTTATCACTTTTTAATGATGAAATCCTGATTCTCCAGTATAGTACAAGACAATGGTTTCATGTTACACAGTTTGTATATCCTCTTTCCATTCAACTAACATAGGAAACAAAAGTGACATTTGTTTTCACAGCCAAGGTTTTCATAGCAATGAATCTATACTCCCATTCCATACATAAAGTACAATGCTGTGGAAGCTACACAAGTAGTTCGGACAGGAATTCCACACATCTCATGCTTGAATTTCATCATTTTCAACGTGGCCACCACAATTGGCTCAGGCTGCATGGTACAGTAATTAAATGGGAAGACATGATAACAAAATAAAGACACACTGAGCAATCCAGAACAACCTATTGAGAACCGTACAAATAATGGGGCTAGTTCATTCCTAAGGAACAAGGCATCTTCATTTAAAACCAAAAAGAAATATCACATTACGGGAGCAAAAATCATTGAACTATTCCTCGGCACGAACGCATGCATCTCAAGAAGTCTCGCTAGCTTCTGTAATGTTGCACCTGACAACAAAACATCGTACACACCTTGCACATCCTGTGCCAACACTCACTCAGCTGATACATTTTAGTTTAGCCCAAACAGTTACAAAATCAGTTACATCAGGAGTTATGAAAAACATGCACATTTTAAAAGTGCACTTCGTGCAGAAAGGGATGAGGGGGTGGCTAGAAGAAATGCTGGGGGTGGACTGAATTTTTTATAGATGGTTATCTTTAATGCAATAAGCAAAATAAATGCAATTCAATTCCACTTTCATTGGAGAGCAGCTGTAGCAATAACAGATTTATCCTGACATCTCGTGATTGGCAACAGAATGTCACAGACACTGAGTCATCATCCGTGTTCTTTGTACTGTGACACTTATTAACATTTCCAGAAAACAAAAAGAAATATACTATACAGAGATGTATAGGGTACACGATAATCTACTTGAACATGAAACAGTTATTGTAAGTAATGTGCCACTCAAAGCACAATAAATTAACAGTACATAAAATCAACAAATTCCACTTTAATGCTACACGAAGCACGTGTAGAGAAATACAATATCTACTTTTCGCCTACAACAGCCTAAGTTTCCGCAGTTTTCTTTGCTTCACTGGGCTGATGTATCTTCAGTTCTAATATGCCTTTCTCTTTGAACTTTCCAGACGCAACACGCTGTTTGATTTCTTCGTTTTCCTGAGCCATATGTGCAGTTGTCTCCCGAGCTTCATTGATTTCTTTTAAATACTTCACGATGGTTGTCTGAAAATGCAAAAGTACAAAATTAAAATAACATAATCAGGAACATGCTTGGTCTCACTCACAAGATAACAGAAAGAACCACTTTATCACCCCTTATAACAAAAAATTTGTGACTTTTGAAGATTTCTCAGTTCTCAGTATTTCTCAGTATTTAAACAAATAAATAAAAAGATAACAGAAAGGACCACTTTACAAGCCGTATAACAACAATTTCTGTCACTTTTAAAGATTTCTCAGTTCGTAGTCAACCTGACGATTACGCTATGGCACGTCCTTTCCTTGACAATGAGGCAAATAGTGATGTTGTATTTCAATCCGACCGTTTCTTCGAGACCTGTTGTGGTAATCCCTTGGTGCAAAATGCCATTGGAAAGTATGTATACATTATGGACATACTGCCAAAACCCGGGTCCATTCAGCATTCAATGAGACAGGAGGGGTATGCGTGCCAGTCTTCTTTCAGTCATTGTCGAGCTATATCGTCTTTAAACACCTCCGTGGGAATGTCCCAACCACGTTCACTTTTGGTGACACTTCTCCTTTTCTATATCTGAAGCCATGGTGCATTTGACATGCACTTTGAACAGGTGTTTTAAATGGTGTTGTGCTGCCCTGGCTCTCAAGAAATTGAGGCTTTGTACTGTAATTATGGACTCAAGTTATCTTAATATGTGCAAAAATAAAAAACAGTATTGATGTCACTTTTAGCATTCAAAACTGCAGTAAAATCACCTTGTAATGACACTGGGTTTACCAACATCACAATGAGCAGCCAGTGCACATTAACCTTCTGTATGCATTCTATGGCACCTCAAACTGACCAATATAATGTTTACAATGCTACATTTATTATTTATAATGGTTAAATTTGGCTACTTGCTATTTCCTCAAAGCAGAAGAAAAGAAAGGTTTCAAATGCCAGAAAACAAAAATATATGAGAGTCGGCACACCCATCTTAGTACCAAGAAGACTGAAAAGTACATGAAACAGAGCCAGCTTTCCCCGTCATCTTCACACACTCCATCTCCCACATCTACCTTCTGTCAACCTTCCATCCTTCTGAACACAAGTGGACTATATATAAACACTGCTCAGTGTAAGAGATCCTATCTCACTCTGCAATAAAGTTTGGTTGTTCGGAAGGACGCTAGCACTACATGCTAACTGCACAAGCAGTCATGACCGGAGAAAGGGGAGTTAAACAACGCGTCGAAGATTGGGAGGGATTGAAGGTAAGCATTCGTTTGCTACTGCTGTCAGTAATCTTCACAGACTGGGCAAGCCAAACTACCAGCAGATTGCAGCTTATGAAAAAACCATCATTGGTGCTTGCTGCATGTGATAGGAGTGCGTGGGTTAGCCACTGTTGTCTATAAAATCTGCAGTCAGAAGGACAAGGGGAGCATCGGCAACGCTGATTACAGTCAGCACTGCTGCTTACACCATCTTTCTTTCTCTCTCTCTCTCTATCTGCGTGCGCGTGTGTGTGTGTGTAGAATGAGCACATGCTTGCATGCATGTGTGCTTTTCCCAACCTGATTAAGTAATTATCGGTTATAACAATGACATTTTTATAGCACCTGAATGTTAAAAGTGGTTTTGAATGCATTCCCTTAAGTGGGATAATTGTCAATGGGATACAAAAAGCAAGCTCTCTCCAAAAGCCATAACCTAAAATGTTATTACATGCAGAACTGTAACATGATGATTTTTCGCTATCGGTGCATGTGAAACCAAGGCTAGAAGGCTGAAAATGCATGCAGCAACACCACTGAATGCAACATAATTGCTTAGGACACTTAGTCCCAGAGAACCCGTTCATGGTAGCCATGTCAGCAGTCTGCCAGTCGGGTACCATCGTAATGGTACATGACAGTGCTGGCTGCTAGCCTCCCACTCAGTGACAGATGCAGTAATAGCACCTTTATGGGTGCCAACTACACGTGCCCTCCAACCTTGAAATTTTTAGTTGTACACACTTTGCTAGTAAAGTTGGCATGTCGAAGTTCCACAGGTAGTGCATTTTTAAAAACCTGTTGCCCGACTTTTTCATGTTATGACAGAGTTGAGTCCACACCTTGCTGAGTAGCAACCAAAGCATACCACTACCCCGGAAAAGAAGGAAGAAGGGAGGACAAAAAAGATGGACCAATTGTTCAACAGTACCCCATTGTTCAACCCAACCTAACAACACTGTGATAGCAGCTTCCATTTCTATTGTACAGCATTTATGTGCATCACAGTCAGATGATGTTCCAATTTGCACTACACTGAAGTTTATATGCTAGCATATGGGCATTTTTTGTGTGAACATACACATGTATGTGCATGCATACAGATGTGCTTGGGTACTACAAAAGACATTTCATTCCAATTTTCAATGCACTACACACACAAAATGAAACATTACGTTGTGCTCTACAAATTCCTTGTTTAACCTCACAGGCTACTGCATCATATCTTTGAAGCACAGACTATGTGGCTGTACAAATGGCCTCATATAACGTTAGCAAAAGTACACATGTATATCCAGAACATATGCACACAAACAATACATGCACAAACACATGCACAAACTTAACAGGAGCTTTACATATCATGAAACAAAAGATATGGGTTTGAACCCAGCAACGGAAGTCACATTTCTATGGAAGCGAAATGCTAGAGGCCTGTGTACTGCACATGTCGGTGCACATTAGGTCAAAATTATCCACAGCTTTCCACGGCAGCATCTCTGATCACTTTGGGACGTAAAAAAACAAAACGGATTAACGGCACTTAGATTTTGGCACATTGTTGGATCTTCACATCACTTTTTGCAGATCGAACTGCTTATGCAGCATTACAGAGAACTCAATTCATTTTCTGGGTTACGATATATAGTCCACAGCCGGAACAAAGCGACACCTCTTACATGTATCAAAGCGGTCGTTGTGCATTTTGATTACAAAACTGACGTAAAGTGGTGGAAAATAACCGTGTATGAAAACTGTGCCATTTGACGCCGACATGCCATGAGTCTGAATAAGGCACTGAGGTGACCATTAATGTCGTTTGAACTGGTCCGAACACTCATGAGCATAAATTACCAGCACTCCTCACTTTCTGTCACCACACAAGTCCACAATATGAACAAGTTTCAAGGCGCGCACTAGATGACGAATTTTTATTCCTGCTACCGTGTGGGTCTCTCGCTATCTGCAAACATCCGATGTGTGAATGCGGCATTCGATGACTTCATTCAATGCAAAATGCAGTGCAAATTTGATAGTTCAAATAAATTAACTACTTGCTCATAGTGGTAAAACAGGGATAGGTTGCATACATCCTGGTCACTCACAAAACCCAAAGATGTCTGTCCTTCACGGAACCTCAGAGTTTCACGGAATTCAGTCTGAGAACCCATGCTATAAAGCAAATTATACCTCACTAATTACCTTTTTATATATAGGCATTGGTAAACAGAACTAAATACAGCTTATAGAGGTAGCACAGGTAATAAATACATTAATAAATGCACAGCTTTCTTGCCGTCAGCCTCCACCAAAGAATATAGTATTCATATCATCATCTTCCAGACAGCAGTGCATTACGTTCATGGCAATGGCTCAATACACGCGTAATCTTCTGTAGTTATAGCTTCATCAAAACGTAAATTTAAACTACTCGGCCTAGCACAACAGGTGAACCAACATTTACCTTTAACAAACAATGGATGAAAAGAGAAATGACAGCTAACAATGAAACAGTGCTTTAGAGCCTACTCTTCGTGCACTCTTCCCTTAATTGTCGAAACTGTAGCGTGGCCCCCTTTCATGGTTGCAGGACAGAGTGTACAGTGGAAAGGTACATAGCACACTGATGCTACACCTCAATAAAACAATCTTTTTTTTTTTAATTTGTTATAGCTTCAGGCTTTACAGAGGGCAAGTTTTATGACAGGCACATAAAAGCCAACAATCCCCTACCCATAAAAAGTGATCTAATTGTCTACCATAATTTGCCCCTCTCACAAGTATGACATGTAAATGTCCAAAAAGCATATTTAAGAACAGTGTAGGAGATATTGAAGATTATCTGTATTTGGCATCGAATTCCTAGTCATGTGTGAGTGTCAGAACAAGATACAGAAAAATGTCATCAACTATCGAGGATCACTTCCTAAATGACATCACAGAAGCGCGAGAGAGTAGAGTGTTTAAAGAGCATAAAGTTTAATTTGAGAGAGAGACCCTAAACATGTTCATTCTCTTAAGAGTACTTTTTTCCAAACAATATTGTTTAATACTTTTAGGACACCAACTTCTACTAACTCCCTAGAATCGCTTTTGTGGATGAAGGTGGAGTAAATATGCAATGTGCAAGAAAAAAATAACAATGTTTGCGGATGTCTCCACAAAAGCATAACAAAGTGTAAATGTTTAAAATATTAGTCTGACATAAAAAGCATGGTGGAGAGCCAAAATCAAGCGGAAGCCAACTAGATCAAATATGAACTGAGGCTGAAGTCAAAAGCAAGCATGACATACAAAGCATGGTGGAGAGCCAAAATCGAGCGGAAGCCAACTACATCAATTATGAACTGAGGCTGAAGTCAAAAGCAAGCATGACTTAAACATTCAGCTGCACAATGGGAGATGTCAAGTTTAATCATTTCAAGCTTTCAAACTTCCCTTTCTGACACACATCCACATACCAATTCTGAGGTCCCACATTTCCGGCAGCTATTACACACATAAAATGGAATTAAGGACACTTGTGTTCTAGCTCTAGCGCTGGAGTTGGCAATCTTCGAGCATGGACGCTCGAGAAAAAGCTTTCGTGAAATAATCAAGCAAATGAATTTTCTACAATCACAGCTTGAACTAACATGATGGCGCTGAGAAAAATGTGGGCAGGGCAACAGATGTGCCACTGCAAGCCAAATAAACTTGATAATAAAGTGTTGCTTTCTTATTTCGTCACTAACTTTGTGCTTTGAATGGTATTAAAGAGGTAG